CCAGCATTCAGCATTGAACCAGCACTAAGGTGGAGAGACAATGAATCAGCTACGTCAATAACACCAACAATAATTTAGTGGCTGCATTTTATTTATTTAAACATTGGGGATTTATAAGTACATTTAAATCAATAATGTCAACAGCAGAGTTTACCGAGGGGTGGCCGTGGCCACCCCTTGGGGGCGCCCCTGATTGGAAATACGTGCCTCAGGCTACATTTTTGCAAAAAACATGCTTCAACATAAATTTGCATGCAGTTTCTAGGTAAAATTACCTCTATGAGGCAATATGACGATGCCGATGTTTGTTTTTTTGATACTTCTGATACTTAATGGGACGAATGATCAAGCAATACAAGATTCATTATTGTATGGTTCTTTGCCAAAAGAGAATAAATACCACAAAACATCTTAAATGTGTCTTTGATTTGTAATCGATTGTGTTTACCTCAGCTGTTTGTCTTCATATGGACAGCGTTTCTGCCAACCCAGGGTCATTACAGGTACCGTATGTACCCTGTATGGATTTCTGGATAGTGTGAAATAGGATATATGTTTTTTGCAGTTTTTGTTTCTGCAATGAATGCTTTTTCAGAGCTCAGTTTTCTTTGAAGAGTGTCATTCGCACCTGCTGTTCTGCTGTAAATCCAGCAGAGGCTGCTGTCAAGTGACTCTTCCCTAAACCCAACCGACAGTGTTTTCAAAAGCAATCCAGAAAAAGAAAAGCCCTCGTGACAGCCTGATTTCTACATTTTCCGATCTTACCACATTTTCACCCTGTCATTTACTTCTTTTATTTAATATTTTGCCTTTTGTTTTTGCTTTGCCTGCTTTCTGGAACCATTTTTCGCCAGAGTCAACCCCCATCGTCACGGTTAGGGTTAGGAAATGCCATCCACTTTGAAGCAAGGCAATCTGGTAGCATTATACTAGCCTGTAGCATTAATTTTAAAGACAAAATCCAGCCATATGTAGCTTTGGCTACATAATTCATGCTCATCAGAAATGTATACGTATAATGTACGTTTTCACAGTGAGCCTGTGTTGTTTTCTACTTTGGTCAGTTTGGTTGGTAGCTCACCTTGTACTGTGTTGTACTTGCCTGAGTTAGAATCCAGTGAAAGAGGGTTTCACTGAACTGGTAAAAGTGATGTAAAATCATGGTAAAACTATGTAGCCACAACTTCTGAATTTTGGATCACAAGCTACAAGGAAATATTGTCAGAGCAATGTATTTCATGTTTCGCAAAAAAATGTATCCCTGGACACGTATTTCTATTTAGCTTGGGTAAGTTCATGTAAAAATTCCATGACACTGTGATGTATAGGTCTTTACGGGTCCTAAAATTCAAAGAAACTTTTAATTGTGTTTGACTTTAAGAGTAAACACAGACGGTTCCAGGACAACACTGTGTACAGAACAGATGCAGATCTGAATGTTTATTAAAAATGAGACCCAAAACAGTGCAGACCCAAGAAATGTCTTAAATGTACACGGACCCTGGTTGCACGGATTGTTACATAATAACAGCTACTGCTATTAATTACTATTTAACAAGTTTAAAAAATACTTTTCACTTAACTACTGTTTGTTGCCTTTTCCCTGACTACAGTATGTGCAATGCATACAGTTCTCTTTGTCAATAAATTTACATCCATGATGCGGTTTCTCTCTTGCAGACTTTGAATCCACTATTCTAGCTTCAAATGTCTACTGGCTGTCATGGTCAGTGATGGATGGTTGAAGCAACTTCGCAGTTGTTCCCCGTCCCAATGTCAAGTAAGCCTTGACTGTTTTGTTTACTCTTGAACTACAATAAGGATACTATTGTTTATTGTATTATGCCTCGTAAACGTCTAGCCTACAGAGATTTACAAAGGCAATTTTGTAATGTTACAGCCTTATGTTACTTTTTCCCACTTTGGTCTACACTTCAAACCACACAAAGGCTAAAACAAATTATACCGTATAATTATACCAATTATAAGGACTAACAGCTGATGCATATCCAGAGGTGGGTAGAGTATCCAAAATCTAAACTCAAGTTTAAATACAAGACCTTGCGGAAATTTTTACTCAAGTAAATATAAAAGTAATGATTGTAAAAGTAACTTGAGTAAGAGTAAAAAGAATTCCATGAAAAAATACTCAAGTAACTAGTTACTAGTTACTTTTAATTTTACAATGTTAGCTTGATGTACAGCATCACAAATCTGTTTTTGACAACAGTGAAAACATAGACTGAACTTGAGGCTGCAGGTGATGTGATCCGATAAACTTGCATGTCTTTAGACATCATTCACACTGAAGCACTCTCTAAACGAAAGCAGGAGACACATCTCTTTAGCAGTCTTTCGCCACACAACCACTTCTACATGATACCTCAAAATATTTGCAAACAAGGAACATGAATCAATCAAATTTATTACCGCTTCACAGTAATGGAGGAATGCTGCAAAATGTAACAAAAAGTAAAAGCTGCGGTCACCCTAAAGTTTGACCTTGTGAAATTCATTTAAAAAAGCAAGCGATTGCTCCATATTTTAAATTTCTGTAAGAGAGGTCATGTTTTGACCCTTGATTGGTCTCATGCAGTCAAGTGATGCAATTTCGCAGGTCAGAGTTCACCAAGTTTGAACTGTGCATCACAGCGAACTGCAAAACTTGTCGCACAAGCTTGCGTTTCCGGTCTGACGCATTCGCATTCATATGAGTGGAAGCCTATGGTGAGAAAAGACCAATGTGACCGCAGCTTAAGAGTTTTTCCTCTAAAAATATGCTTGAGTTAAAGTTCACATCTTTAAATGTACTAAAAAATGAAACAAAGTAAATGTAAAACCAAGCCATGATGTAAAAGGAACTACCTGCAGAGACAAGATTATCTCCAATAATAATAATACAAAAAAAAAAAAAAAAAAAAACTAGAATGACAATATAAATGTGAAATTTGCCTAAAGCTGGAAAGAACAGAGTGGCCAAGAGAAGGTTTTATCTGGAGAGGATTAAACACTGCATGTTTAAAAGCATCTGGTACATCCCCCTGAGGCTGTTATTAGAACAGGCAAGAAAACACAGAATTAAATGTTTCTTTTAGAAGTGTGGCCGAAAAAGCATCTGGACATCTAGATGTTAACTTTGGTAATGAAATTACTTCAGCAACAAAAAAGGAGAGAAAAAGGGGTAATGGAGTCTCAGTGTCATAACATCAGCCAAAAACATGAAACTTTATATGTGTTTTGTCTATTCGTTTACGTGGCAATGTAATTTTGGATTTTAAAGTTCAAATTGCAAACACACAATATGGGAATCTTTGAAAACAGCAAAGTTTGTGTAGAATGTATTAGGTATGTAGACATGCATTATGTGTCAGTTTTAAAGGTGCTGTATGTACGTTTTCGAGTCTTCTAAAGCAGCGGGTCCCAACAGGGGTGTCGCAGCCCACAAGGGAGAATCAGCGAGCTTTGTGGGGAGTCGTTTCATATTTAAAAAAAAAAACTTAGCAGTGGAAAATTAGGAGAATGATCATGTTGCCTTAGTTCATTTTATCACCTAGCTCAGTGGTCCTCAACCACCAGTCCGTCATCAATTGGTACTGGGCCGCACAAGAAATCATTAATTATTTCTGTTTTATTTTTTATGTAATTCTGAACGATCTTTTATTTTGAAAATTCTTTTATTTTGAAAACTGACCATCTCGCTTACGTCTCGGTCACCTGAGCACCCAAATTTAACCTACAAGCAGCAAAATGAGTAAGAAATAGACGTCTTTAGAAAGTTTCTTTGCTAAAGAAAAAAAGGCCCAGTGAACGACCTGCGAACTGACAAGGAATAGATCCGCAACCAATTTGTCAACATATCAGGTGAATCCACCATGGCTGTGCAAGAAGATCACCTGATGGAAATTGCAAATGACGGTGGCCTTTTAGGGGGTGTTTGAATATCACGTATTTCTAGAGTTTTCACAAGTTTGTTGTTTCCAATGGAGGTGCGCAGTTTCCGCGCATGTGACACACTTGCATCAATGAACCCCGGGCCGCGACCTGCGAGTGCATCGCGGGTCACGTGACAAGAAGGGTCTCAGGCAAAAAAAAGGGAACCACTGTTCTAATGCATAAAAATACCATCATATGTTTGCAGATATTTAAGAAACATTCGGATTTATCTGAAAAACAAAGCTAAAGTACAGATATTCTGCTTTGAAAATGTCTGTTATGTGCTGGAAAGACTGTCTTTGTTTTGGATTCTTTAACTCGCCCACTGCCAGTTTAGCTAATTATATTTCAGCACCCCGGGTTGCCTCGGTGGAAAACCGCGTATTTCATTCATTCATTCAGAGAGGCTCTCCAAGCATGCGTCCGAGACTAAAATGCGACCTCTGGTGGACAGTAGCAGACTCCAAAACGAAACGCAGATTCAGTTCCACATTAGGTCATTAATTAGCAAATAATATAAATATTACAAACATAAACATTAGGTGAACAGGTTACATTGTTACCACGTGTCCTAACAACACACTTTGTGAAGAGATTTGCACTTCTATCGCGTGTCGTTGCTTTATTTATAACACAATTTAAATCAGCCTTTAGCCTCGATAGTCACTTGCTCCTGTTGGTCCTCAATCTGGCAACCTGCACTTTTGGTCATTTTGATCCAGGAATGCAATACCCAGTTCAACCACTGGTGTCAAATGTACACCTATAAATGTAGAAAAAATATATTTATTCTACATTTATTTTATCTAATAAAGAATAAATTAACTCCTCTCTGTGTCCACCAACGTACATGGCGAGCCACTGGACAAAGCGGTAACAATGGGAAAGTTGTCCATATGGATGCAAACAGTCAGTTGGTAAGCGCAAAAAGGAATGGCGTCATACCGCCCTGTAGTGTTTGTTTTAAAGACGATATGTATATACGTCTTAAGAATGATTATGTGTTGTGATTAGCAGATTTCAGAGTTTCTGCCATTGGTTATTGTGTTTGCAGTTTAATTACGCACCTTAGTTTGATGTTCACTGACTTCGCCATTAGGGGACTCATCTTTTAAATCAGACGCTGGAGGACTAAAAGGGAAATATTTACAGCAATAAATGGACAATACAAGTTTAAACATACAGTTTAAGTCAGAATTATTAGCTCCCCTGTTTATTTTTTCCTCCAAATTCAGTTTAACGGAGAGAAGATTTTTTTCAACACATTTATAATCATAATAGTTTTAATAACTGATTTCTAATAACTGATTGATTTTATCTTGGCCATGATGACAGTAAATAATATTTGACAAGATATTTATCAAGTCAGCTTGAAGTGACATTTAAAGTCCTAACTAGGTTAATTAGGTTAACTAGGCAGGTTAGGGTAAATAGGCAAGTCGAAAAAATAATTGATTATAGGGGCTAATATTTTTGACTGTAAAATTGTTTTTAAAAAAATCAAAAACTGCTTTTATTCTAGCCGAAATAAAACAAATAATACTTTTTCCAGAAGGAAATATATAATCAGACATTCTGTTAAACATCTTTCAGCAAATATTTTAAAAAGAAAAGACTAATAATATTGACTTCAACTGTATATTTGGCTACAGTCTTTTTTACCTTTTGTGTGCTAAATTCACATCAAACGTTCGGTTCAGTTGAGAGTTAGCCTTTTTTTGTGGTACAGACTCTGTCCTGGTTTGAGTTTTGGGCCTTTTGAGTTGAAGATACTCCTGGAGGATTTGAGAGATTGCATCATGTGAAGGGAAATCATATGAATCCATGTTTATCTGGGAAAAAAACAACAAAAGGATGCTTAATAATAACATCCAAACACAATCCAGTTGAGATATTACCCTATGTATGTCTATATCAACCAACCCAGGCTCATTTTGAAAATGTAGTCCCTTGGACTTTTCTGGAGAACGTGAAATACATCCCCAGAGGTACATATTTTTGCAGTTTTGTTTTTGCGAATCCACGAGAGGCCATTGTGTGCGCTTTTTCATATTTCAAATGTCTCTCGCGAGTGCCATTTGAGCCCACGCTGTTCTCGCATAAACCCACCAGAGGCCGCTGTCGAATGACCGTATGTCTGACTGACTGTATAATTGACTGTGCGACCGGCCAATCGACTGACCCACTCTTCTCCTTCCTTAAACCCAACTAGTTTTACCGATTGACCCACCAACCCACTTTAATCCCTAAACCCTACCAACAATTTGCAAAACCCATTCAGAAAAAGAAAAGCCCTCGTTTGATTTTTACCACGTTTTCTGATTTTACCACATTCTCACCCTGTTGTTTACTCATTTATTTTATTTTTTGTATTCTGTTTTTGTCTTACCTGAATTCTGTGTCTCAAGTGCGCCGAAGTACACGACAAGCTCACTGGACAAATTGGTTGCCATGGGAAAGCCCTCCACACGAAGGTAAGCGGTCAGCCGGCAAGCACAAAAAGGAACAGCGCCATACCGCCCCGTAGCATTTGCTTAAAACATGAAATGCAGCCATACGTACCTCCGGCTACATAATTCGCTTTCTCTAGAAAAGTCCAAGGGACAACATTTTCAGAATGAGCCTGTGTTGATTTCAACTATACAGTTTGCAAATGCATGAAATGGCTCAGTTTAACGATTACCCTGCATAATGAAGTCAAGTGTTTGCCCAAAACACATTGCAAAATGTGCAGTTTTAAGGAATAGCCGTGTCAATAAAGGTATTTTAATATTTTTCCCACATTTTTCGAGTTCCTTGGACCGACATTTGCTGTTTATTCTGATGTCATCTTTGCATTTAAAATGGCATAACTGAGAAAATGACACTTAATGGCAGTTGTCATTAGCATTCATAAAATCTTCATATTCACAACATGCATTAATATAATAGAGGTGTCATGACAGTCTTATAAACGCCCACTTCAGAGAAACTGTTACCCACTTCTGTATTTTTTAAAATGTATAGCAATAAACAAACTATACTCATAATATTTAAAAATATGAGCACATTTCATTTGTTTCATTACATCAAACAGATAATGTTGATTATAATTTCTTCATGAATTCTGTATGTGAAGATCTGTTCTGAGATAGGCAGTAGGTCATTTACCTGTGCTCCTGCAGGGTCATTTTGTGGTTTCTCTGGGTTTTGCATCTGGCTGAAGGTTTCTGAGCTCCTGTCAGGCATATTAAACCGCTGAATGAAGAGAAAGCTCTGACAATGCTGGCAACCTGACGTCGGGTTTCCACAACACAGAAATCCTGCCTGGCAACTTTTATAGGCTGAACAGGAAACAAACCAATCATTCATGATATTCAAGAGCTCACAGAGACATTACTACACTGTAATCAGAATGTAAAATAATTAACAAAATACATGCAAATATTTGTCTGTAGCTTCTGGTGGTTCTGTGTTAAAGGAACACATGAGTTTGCTGCTCTGGAGATTGATGATGTTTTCTGCTCCATGCTGAGATGAGCTTGTTCTTTATTCTTTGAGCGCAGCATGAAACCTTTTAACCTCCAAACACATTGAGCTGCTCTCCCCATGCCAAAGGTCATCGCACATTCATATTATTCACATATAGTGTTCACTGTTTGGCATCAGAAAGAACAATGCTGAATAAAATAATTATTAATTAAATCAGAAGAGTCATAAAGTCTGTGTGTTTTGTTAGGTTAACATGAATATTGTGAAATTTGCCACGTATATTTATGAGATACACTGGAAAAAAAAAACGTATCGTTTCATTTACTCATTTTTTAAGTTAAGTGGTTGCAAACAATTTATGGTCTGAATTTAAACAAACAAATTAAGTCAAACAAAAAAAATGAACATAAAAAAGAATTTAATTTGTTTGTTTAAATTTATTCATTCAATCATTCATTCATTCATTCAGTTTCTTTTCGGATGCCCTTCCAGCTGCAAACCATCTCTGGGATACATCAATACACACTCATTCACACTCATACACTACAGACAATTTGGCATGTCGCTGTACCGCATGTTGTTGAACTGTGGGGGAAACCGGAGCACCTGGAGAAAACCCATGCGAACGTGGGGAAAACATGCAAACTCCACACAGAAATGCCACCTGATTCAGCTGAGGCTCGAACCAGCGACCTTCCTGCTGTGAGGCGACATCACTACCTACTGCACCACCATGTCACCTGTTTGATTTCAGCCCATTTAAATCAACCCAGGCTCATTCTGAAAACGTAGGCCCGTGAACGTTTCTGGAGACGGCAAAATACACTCCGGGAGGTACGTATTTTGCAGTTTTTGTTTTCGCAAATCCACAGGAGGCCACTGTGTGCGCTTTTTCGTATCTCAAATGTCTCTCGCGAGTGCCGTTCGCACCAGAGGCCGCTGTCGAACGACCGCCAGTCTAATTGACTGAATGACTAACTGTGCGACCACACAATCATATTTATAGCATATGATAATCATAAATATAAGAATTATTAATTCATTCAGCACCACCTCCCAGAAGAGCAATGAAGTCTGTTTAAATCTATCTTTTGTTAGTTGAACGTGTATATTGTGAAACTTGCCTCATATGTTTGTAACGAGGCAACAAACACCATGTAAACATTCAGTATATGCATTTAACTGGCTTTTAAATGGGATAAGAGATTACACTCTGATTGGCTTATAGCATATTACACCCAAAACAAACAAAAAACTTTTAGAAATACCAATTATTTTCCCCATCATTTAATAAGAAAAAGTGGACTTGGATTTTCCATGAGTGCAACTGTGTCTTTAAACCATATGCGCTTAATCATTAAAACACAATAACTTTTAATTATTGTGCACTTTGATCTTGCAAAATTTGCAGACCTTTTAGATTAACACACAGTCCAACTCTATCTAGTTGAACAAAAATACACTGAAGTCAGCAGATCTATGCTAAGCTAAAAGTGCTGACCCAGAGCAAAGTCCCTTTAAGGCAAGTCAGTTCCCTCGACAGCCATCTTTGAAATGCCTCTTGGGAGGTATGCTTGGGTATTCTGTCTGAATGGGGAAACATCAAATTTTTCAAAGTTGTTTATCAAGCTTACGATAACATTAAATATTTGGAACCCCCATAATATTAAACAACAACCATCTTATAAGTTTAGTTTCTAAATGTCAAGCTATTGCGCATGTCCACTCAAAAGAAACGAGATCACGACACCAACCTCATTTATAACTTGGTCTTGATGATGAATCTTCTTCAGAAATGACAGCAACTCTTTGTTTACAAGTCTGTGGGCGTTTGAGTAGTTGCTGTCATGTGATGTGTGTTTGACAGGATGGACTGTATCTCATTTTTCAGATTACTAAAACAAAAAAAAATGTTTTTTTTTAAATACACTTGCTTCATTTAAAAGTACAGATTTCAAGCTTTATGTGGATATATTTCTTATATCTGTGAAGCAAAAATTCGTTGGTATTCCAGCATGTTTGTTGGTCACATAAACTGTCGTAAAAGCACACATCTGGGGTCTGTTCTTCATAGCTCACTATAATGGTCTAAAATGGTTTAGCAGATCCTGGATATTTTAATCTTGATAACCGATCTCTGGTTAGTTTGGTTTTTCAAACAAGTTCACGAATCAGATTAAAATGTCTGGATGAACTGTTCTGAGATCACTGCATGTGTTGTTCAGGGCTGATCTATCCATCCTCGAAATCAGGATCAGCACTGCAGCGATTGGCTGATGGCACAGCAGCGTAATGACATCATCAGATTAATATTCAATTATCTATGTGAGCTAAACTACATAAAATTTGCGGTAAATGGTTTGTTAAATATGATACGCAATAACTTTACACCTTGTTGCAGGCTGCATGCTTGGCCCTTTCATGTGTCAAGAGCAGTTTCTTTAGTTTTACAGTTAGAGCAGTTTTTTTTATATTATAGTAGCCATAGTAGTATTGTAGTGATTTTTTAATCAGAGTAAAGAATAACTGGATGTTTACAAAAGCATTTTGATACTGGTAAAGGCGTCTGCAACTTTTGTGAAGCATCAAATCACCGTCATATTAACTGTCATAACATGTTCATTACTGCATAAATGTATTATATATATATATATATATATATATATATATATATATATATATATATATATATATATATATATAGTTAAAAATATTTACTATTTTCCCAAGTGTATATAACTACTACTGTAAGAAAATATCAGAGTTCGGTACATACTTTCAGTATTTTCTTTGCTTAAACTGACCCGATCTAATCCTGTTTATATGAAATAAGCCTGCTCCTGACCAGATTTGAGCTGCTAGACCTGTCACTATGACAACAACTCTCGGATCAGTTTTGGGGAACGAAACAATCCTGGATCGTGTCAAATCGTCAATACCCAAATCCTAAAAAACCCTAACTGAGTAATCCACGTACAAGAACGGACCCACTGTCTGAGTTTTTTCCCTGGAGAAATGTCAATCTATAGCGATCGCAGATTGGCTCCTGTACTAGTAGGCGGGGCTTCATTCGAGATATTGACCGTTTAACTTTTCCCCATTCAAAGCTATACACGTGACATGTCTTGTGTATTCTATAGTCTTTGCCCAGAGATTGGTGGAATGCATTAAAAAGTGGAAAAAACAAACTAGCAGTGTAGTGTATTTTATTTTATAATTGTCATATAAATGTCTTTAAAAGCTTTTTTAATTTGACTTTGACAAGCATTTTCCTCATCATTAATTATGGAAAAGTAAGCTTGGATTTTCCGTTAGTGAAACTATGTATTTAAACCATATGCTCTTACATCATTAAAATAAAACAACTTTTAATTATTGCGCACTTTGATCTTTCAAACTTTGCTGAGCTTTTAGATTCACAAACGGCTACATTACACACTGCATGAAAGCTTATATTCAAAAGAGCATAATAGGGGCATGTTAAATGCAATAAAAATTACCATAATGCTTTGAGTGTGGGTTGAGCATTTACGTGTGTCTGCCAATCATTTCGAAAAGAGTCTGTTTATCAGCACTAGAGACTCATCTTTCTCATGAGACAAAGAGCAACCCATCGACAAACAGCCATACGGTAACAATATGCAATTAGTTCATAACCGCAACAGCTTTGTTTCTGAAGAAAAAATAATCATTGAAAATTGAGGCAATAATTGCTGTTGTTTAGTTTTTCATTTCCTTAAATGACTTTCATTAAAAAAACAATGCATATTAATCTAAATTATTCCATTTCTATGGCAACATCATAGACCAAAGCCCACCAGAGTGCAGCAAAGAATTTTTGAAGCACACAAACACTTAACCAGCTGAAAAATAAACCAAAGGGGAGGAAAAACCTTCTTTAAATAATAATTAAACATAAACAATGAATAAGTAAATGAAAATACAAAAATGAGGCTTATTTTACTCTTAATTCTTAGTGTTGCCATAGCAGGATTCATAGAATCCATAGCTCCCAGGATTCATTCAACTGGGTGCGTCTGGTCTGGGAAGTGCGAGCACACCTCCATTGGAAACAACTTGTGTGATCTCTAGAAAAAACGTGATATGCGAATGACCCCTAAAAGGCGGCAGCCATTTAGGATGACCCTTAGTTGATCTCCTTGCACAGCCATGGTGAATTCACCTGATTTGTTGACAGCTGGGTTGCAGATCCTTTCCTTGGCAGTTAGTGAACTTTTTCCCCTTAGCAAAGAAACAGGCCAAAGACGTCTGATACTCATTTTGCTGCGTGTGGGTTAAATTTGAGCACTCAGATGACCAAGATGTAAGCGAGAGAATACCATCATTTTTCAAAATAAATGACTTTTTAAAATAAAATATTGTTTAGACTCAAATAATAAATAAAACGGAAATAATTCATAATTTCTTTTGTGGCCTGGTACCAATTGATCCAGGGACTGGTAAATGTCAGTGGCCTGGTGGTTGAGAACCACCGCACTGCATCATGGATGATCGCCTACACCTCCCTATACCCTAAACCCAACTGTCACAGTAGTATGGGCATTACCTTTGTGAGCGTCATCATGATTACAGACTGCAGCGAGGACATAGTGGCAGCTTCTAGCAAGTAGCAACATCGGACACGTGATCCTAATCCTAATGATAGGTCTGGAAGTGCAGGTCTGAGAGTACAGTTGGGTCTCTGGGCCTGCACCTTCATAATTTGTTTCTCATTAAATCATGACTAAAAAATGCTCTCCAGTATCTGACATGCCCCGCCCCCTTCAAGACACTTCTCATTTGATGCATTTGAGCTTAACCACTGTCAATGGCAGA